TAAATTTTTCCACCTCCTCTCTCTAGCCTTCTCTTTAAATGTTAGATTTAAAAGGTTATGTACAAACATGTAAGTTTTATAAAGAAGTTGCCAAAAACCTTAAAATCTAGAATCTTTAGAGCTTGTCGGCTATTATGCAGAGAAGATTGTGGAAGCAAATATTAGTCATTCACATCATTTTCTGTGTTGAGTCAACATCTATTTTTAGGTGTGGAGCACATAGACAAATCTTTGACACATAAAACACATAAAGACATCCATTTGACATCATTTGTGTTTGGGCTAAGGCTTGGGAAGAGGGGAAGACAATTGCTGAAAGCATTGTAGTCATGATGGGGACCCCCACATTTCCTTCCAAGACACATTTTAAGACATAATGTAGGAATGTACTGATCTGTTTATATTTAAATAAATCAAGATGAAGTGCAAAATATTCAGGTTTGGATCCAGTGCTATTTCAGATGTGCTGCAAAGTAATTCTTCGTGATCTGTGCTGAATACTTGCCATTAGGCTTTATCCAGGAAGTATTTTTATTATGTTAAATGCATGTGTTCTAAATGTATGTATTTTAAAAGCGGAGGAGGCTTTTTATGCACATATTATAATTACAAATCTGATTCATAGGTATAAGAGCAGTTAAGAGATTTGATTTAATAATTTTCCAACAGCATACATGCGGTGCCTCAGCTAGATTTCCTTGTTTGCTTGGTCATAATATTTTATGGTCTGGTTCTGGGCTTATAGTGCAAGGGAACTTCTTGTGATAAATTGCAGATATGACAATGAGTGTCAGTATACAGTTCCCCGAGCAGATGTTCATTTAGTCTAATTTCACCAGTACTTTACTGTTCATCCAGAACAGATCTTGCCAGCTCAGGATGAAAACAACAAAGAGAGATAGCACAAAAGATCATTCTGCAAATAACCTGATCTGTTTCAGACACTTGGAGGGGCGGGGGGAAAATAAAACATACTGGAACTTCAGAGTGCTACATATGTGCTAAGGTTATTACATGTTGAATACAGTAAATAATCCATACGCCCACAACACATAGGGGTAAATTTACAAAGCTGTGCGTAGGAAGTTGCACGTTAATCTACCTCTGAACAATAGTTATTTTATGCCTGCACTTAAAGAACCCTTGCGTTTGTTTTTAAGGTCTCTCTAGCTCTTCCTTTGTTCTTCCAGCCTTTCCTGGCTTTGTTGGTTTTACAGAATAGGTAGTGCCTGAACTCGAGGGTTATTGCTTGTGAAAGAACAGAAAATAATCTGTCCATTTAAAATGCAAAGGGTGGCTCTAGCTTACTAATACACCTTTCCTTTTCTTCAATCCATAGGTGTCATATGCCCGTCCAAGTTCAGCATCAATCCGAGATGCAAACTTGTATGTCAGCGGCCTTCCGAAAACAATGACCCAGAAAGAATTAGAGCAGTTATTCTCACAATATGGGCGCATCATCACCTCACGGATTCTGGTTGATCAAGTCACAGGTTAAAAGAAAACTTTTCTTGATACATGCATGTTTTCTGGAAATGGCAAAATTGTAAATGGTTGCTGGCAGTTGAGTTTTAAGACAATATGACTTTTAGTGTATAATGCAGTACCTCGTTCTTTATAAGCGTAACTGTTTGAGGCATAACTGCTGCCTCTTAAATGAGGGAACTCAAAATGCAGAATGTTGTTTATTTAAAATTGTTATATTAAATATGGTAGGGGCTGATTTTGGAGAACACAGCTGGGGAAGGGCATTTTTCTTTATAGGATTTACTTTAATTTGCAAGCTGTGTATTTTGTGAAGTCAAAACCAACATCCAGTTTGTTTGTTTCATAGATGAGGCTGCTCCTACAAATATTCATCTGTTCACATGTTTTTACTTCCCAGGGGTTTCTCGAGGTGTGGGATTTATCCGTTTTGATAAGAGAATAGAGGCAGAAGAAGCCATAAAGGGACTAAATGGCCAGAAGCCTAGTGGTGCTACAGAACCAATTACTGTGAAGTTTGCCAATAACCCCAGCCAGAAAACAAGCCAGGCACTCCTTTCACAGCTGTATCAGTCTCCCAACAGACGCTACCCTGGACCACTTCACCACCAGGCTCAAAGATTCAGGTAATTACCTGGAAAAGAACTGAAGTTCCACCAGTGACAACAATGTGGGGCAGGTGCTGCAGAGGAAAATATGCTTTAGTTGTGTAGGCTGACCTGATTTTCTTTATAAAATTAAATATTCTTTCCTGGAGAATGAGGAGGAAAATTTGCTGACAGCAGTAGTCATGTTGTATTTACTAAAACAGCTGAAGTACTGTACAATCAGATCTCATGAAGCCTCATAAAAGAAGGGAGGACAGAATAGAGTTACACTGATAATCAAATGAGCAGTGGCTATCCTGTTGTTTCTCATTTTTTTGGTAATGCTTTTCTTTTCTGCTATATTATTACAGTTTTGATGCAGCTTTAGACTTTGATGTTAATGGCAGTGGATTGGTAGCAGGAAAAAAGCTGAGCCTGTTCCAGTCAGCAGCAGTATCATTAAATTTATTAGCCTGAGATATCTGCTCTTAGTATAAGAGACCTCGTATTAGTCTTTGGTGTGATTCTTCAGATACTTTCAGGGATGTTTTATGCTTTGCATTCAGAATATACTGTTTCCATCTGATACATAAGCCAGAGTTAGCAATACATGATGTTCAATTACTTTTATAATTTGATAATAATTTTCAGGCAACCTAGCATTCAAATAAAAAGCCTGCCTTCAAAAAAAGAAAATTTGGACATATTCGCATAACTGAGTTGCATACTGGCTTTAGAAAATTATTCAAAATAATTTTAGTTTTTCAATGATGAAAAGTGCTCATGAATTAAATATTATTTTAAAAAGTCAGTCATCAGATACATTAAATTTACACTTGTGTTTTGTGTCCTTGGCACGCAGCTGTGTCCATTGAGGTTATCACTGAATCATTCCATGGATGGAAGGATTTAGTGTGCTCCCATGGAAAGCAGATTATTATATTATGCAAAATTTGGTGGTCGTTTAGGTTGACATATCGTGGAGGATTAATACTAAATACATATAATATAGCGGGGAGAATGTATTATGTTAAAGGAGTTAGAATCAAGAAGTTTTCTAGTTCCAGCAGTTTTCGACTGTAATGTTTTATTTCAAAGTTAACTGTAAATATAAGGTGAACAGTTTAATTATTTGCAAAAATTTCATACTAATATTGTCTAAAAAAGACAAATCAGAAGTGGATTTCTTTAAAATCAAACCCTGGAAATGAAGGTTTTCTCTAAGAGTGTAGACAAGTTAAAAATGACTTTAAACGCTGTGGTGGAAATTTAAGCACAACCTCAGACTTAACAAAGCAGGCTGGGAGTTGTTAGGCTCCTTAGATGTGTGGGAAACTTGTTGAACGTTTCTTCTTTGAAAATGGAACGCTATTAATAATAGTTCCATTGAGCGATCTTGCCATCTGTGAGACATTAACCCAAAGACCCTCCTTCTCTTTTCAGGCTGGACAATTTGCTTAATATGGCCTATGGCGTAAAGAGGTAATTAGAATTCCACAGATTGCCAGATGTCCGTGTTGGCACAGATTGGTGCTACAATTTATTTTTTGTAATTCACTAACTTTATTTTTTTTTTAATTCCTTCTTTTCTTCCACCAGCATGTCAAATTCTTTTTAAGTTTGGACTTCAGTTGGTTTTGTTACTTTAAAGGCCACACGTGCAAATTCTGTGGGTTTTTTCAACCTTTTTTTTTATTTACAGGTGGGTTTCTCAAATGGTTTAGGTGCAACAGCTACAAGCATTCAAACTGCAGTTGTCCTGCTAAATGGCACTTTTTCCAGAATCAGAACTACTAACTTAAATTTTTAACTAATCTCTGATCTGATAATGGAAGATTTAGTTGAAAACAAATTACACAGCTGTTGTCTAAATCTCGCAGTTAAGACCTCCTTTCTACTACATCTGGCTTCACGAGTTTGTCTTGAAAATATAGCTGTGTGCACCTTAATCAGCCCTAAGTTTCTTTTGTTACAGGTTTAATACTTTGAAATTTTCTTGGTGCTTGAGATTTGTTTTCTGTTTAAAATAGCTCTGTGTGTTCGTGTGTATGTGCACGTATGTGTGAAAGCTGCACTGATTTGTAAACATTTATGCTGTTTCGTGAGTATGTTCAATGCTTGATCTGATAGCTAAAATGAGTTGACGTGTTGTTAGTGTTTCTTCTAATGGCACACATCAATACAAGCGAACCTTACAGCAAAATAAAGGTGTAGTCTTATTCCTGATGTTACCGTAAGATGTCCAGCCATCCCTCACAATTAAGATGAGAAAATACTACTAAATCTTCTGAAATGGTCTACTCACCACATTTGAAAATTACTTGAGCTTTTTTTAAAACTCACCCTGTAAAATGGTATGGTAAGTATATCTTTACGCTAGCTAGTAGTGGACAGTAACGTGGGTTATAACTACTGTCACGGTAGCTATCATAAAAATCAAAAATCTTAGACTACTTATAAAAGTAATAGTCAAAACAGAGGCAGTGTATCTTCCCAGAAGCACTACTTCTGGTGTTCATTAGTAGATTTGTTACGTTCGTGATAATCCTTAGTGGTGACGGTGATAAAATGAGTCAGAACTTACCACCTGACTCTATCACGCACCGCTTCTCCTGCGTTCTCCTGTCTCATTTGTTTTTTTGATACATTGCCAAAAACATGGCAAAACTCTCAGCCTCAAGTATCTGTCAGGTACAAGTCGGTGTCAGAAGGATCGTTTTGTTCCAGGAGTTTTCCCTGGGTTTGCTGCTTTCCCTGGAATTGGACTGGCGTGTGGTGCAGGACAAACAGGGCTTAGTCCCTACTAGTGGGGGTTTGAATTCTGATTTCCTATGACCTACAGAGGGAAAAAGAGTTACCTGTCTTTTTGGGTTATGCATCTGCTCTCTTAATATTCAGAGTCTGCAATGTTAGTCTTAAATCACAACAGGTTTTTTTAAGTTGTTTTGTAGGCATCTTAAATTAGTTGTTGTCTCCTTCCAGCAAATCTTAAACTTCTACTTGTACTAGAAAACCCTGTATTTACAGGCACAGGGTCACACAAAAAATACTGTATTGATAAAAATTCCTGAAACATCCATAGTGTAGTGTTCCTGGGTTTGGGGGTTGGTTCGTTCTTTGCTCATGTTAATTATGTGGTACTGATGGAAAATGAGATGTGCTGCTGTGGAAAAAAGGCTTTATTGACACTAATTTCAGATCACTTGCTAGAAGCAAAGCTACTTATGCAATAGGTTATCTTGTATTTATGTCAATACACTTGCACTAGTTTCTTGGATTTACAGCAGCTCCTGTGGTCATGGTACATAAATAGTTGAAAGCCGCATAGCTTCTAAAGGTTTCCAGGGAAAAGCTGCTCTCCAGTGAACTGTATGAAACTTTAACCCTTTGCATCAGTGCAGCCTTCCTTAAAAATGCAAAAGTTGGTATCGTACTGTGTGACATGCACAGCTTTGCATTGTACAGATTTTATAATAACATCACTTACAGGGTAGTATATATGTTAGTGTTGTACTTCATGTTAAATTTAAACATTGCAGAAAAGGAGTGTTTGCTGGCTTACGTATGTTACTAGCACAGTTGGCACTTGTCAGCAATGGGCTTAAAGTCCCATCTTCCAGATTTCAAAGGAAGTTGAATCTGTTGGCTTGTACAAGCTCTCAGTCCTGGCATTCTTATTTACAATTCCACATACGGTGGAAGGAGCAGTATAAATAGGCCTTGTCCTGCTGTCTTTGTTTTCAGCAGCTGGGGAAATACCATGGGTTAGAGCCATGCTGAACCATTATAATAATGTTACTAGTTTCAGTATGCAGGAGAGAACCTAAAGGATGTTGAGAGCAGGATTTGCAAAAGTAAAGTTCAGTCAGTAAATTGCCATGTATTTTTAATAAACTGTCTGCAAACCTGTATGTATGTCTGAGGACCCAATGCTGTGAGCATTTGTTAACTGCTCATTGATAGCATAGCTATACCCCAGTGATGTTCCTCAGCTTAAGATGTGTATTTCAAGTGTCTTTTTTTCCTTGAATATACATATAAAGTGCCATCAAGAGTCAGCAGAATGGTGAGAAGCCATCAAGTGTGTAGTTTCTTTTATGGTTATTTAATATACACTGCATAATATTGTGCAGATTGCTAAACGTGTGGAAATATTACAAGTGTAAAAGGAGAAATTTTGGAGAGCACAGGAGCTCGCTCGGCAACACTGAGTCCCTCCTTTCACTTTCTCAGTCATCACTCAAAATCCTGAGGAATTATTATTCAGTTCTGGTATTAAAACTCATCATACTGAAGGTACATGTGAAACTGGATTTTTAAGACGTTTCCTCTGTGCAGTTGTTATTTTAAAACATATCCCAAAGTGTAGCTTTAGAAAGCATGTCATTTTTTTTCAAACTGATGAAAGGAAAATTATGTTGATCCTGAGGGCTGATACTGCTTAACACCTTCATTAATAACCTGAGTCACGGGCTGCAATGCGCCCTCCTTGCATTAATGGGTGACACTAAATGGGTGAGGGAGCAGGGGCAGTCACCGTGCTATTGGCCACAGCTGCCACTGGGGAGACCTTGACAAGCTGGAGGAACGTGGCAGAATTCAGGAAAGGCAAATGTAGAGTTTAGCCCCTGACTGCTGTCTTCAGCTACCTACAAGGGGTGTTAGAAAGAAGATGAAGCTGAGCTCTTCCCAGAGGTCAACCGCCAAAGGACAAGAGTCAACAGTAGCAGGTTGCAGCAGGGGAAATTCAACTGAGTATAAGGGAAAAATCATTCACAGTGAGGGCAGTGGAGCCCTGGAGCAGGGGCTGCAGCAGTGGAGTTCCCATCCTTGGAGACTTTCAAAAATTTCCTTTGCAAGGCCGTGAACAGTAGATCTAATTTGAGAGGTTAGCCTTGCTTCGATCAGGAGTTTGATTAGATGACTTCCATAGATCGTGTCCAGCCTGTATTATTCTGTGGTGGTTCTGTGTACATAAACACACTACCTGGCTTTAGCTTGCCAATTCAGAAGTTTAAGTTAAGAAAACAGGTCCCAAAAGACAACGAGGGGAGAGTTAGGGTGCTATATTAGGTTTCTAGGAGCTTGTCTCTCTTATGGTGACTATCTGAAGAACCTAAGCCTGTCATTGATATGAAGTCTCACAGTATGAAGGTATTAGTTGACATGCTCATTTATTATATTATGCATTGTTTTACTTTACAATTGCTGCATAAATCTTCTTTAATATGTGGCCAGTGTTAGGACTTTTTTATTAACTGGATTTTTTCCCCAGCGTATGTCAGTTAAGGACTATGTTAGGAGGAAAATTAAAATCTACCACTTAGAGATGTCTCCCTAAAACTTAATAGTATTTTTAGCTAAAGAGGCTACTGTTATAGCTGAATTCTGACAATGGCATTTCACATTAATGCCTTAAAATAAGTCTTGAAGTTTTGGGTTTGTTTTTTTTTTACACTGCAAACTAGTAAAAAGTAAAGTATTAGATCTCTGTTGCCTTGAAACCACATTATTTTAGTGATGGAAATAAGTGGCAAATTCCTACAGGCCTCTTTAAATGAACTCTTATTGATAGCAGTGTGTGCGGGCCCTTTTTGACTTAGATTGTCCTTAAGTATTTCTTTTATTAGATCTTTGTATACATCTAAGTAGGGCTTGTCCTTGAAGGATATGCCCAGATTTGGTCTGCTTTTTTAGTACAGCTCCCCTCCACTTAAGTAGGAGTTAGAAGCCAGGGTGGCTATGTAGTCATCTTCCAGGGATAGGATCAAGAACCTTCATTAACATTGGCTTATTTATTTTAAAGTCTTGGTTCCATGTAGCTTGTGCCAAGAGATATATTTAGAATAGACCCCTCTTTTTACTTGGTAGGTTTTCTCCGATCACAATTGATGGTATGACGAGCCTTGTCGGAATGAATATCCCTGGTCACACTGGGACTGGATGGTGCATCTTCGTCTACAACTTGTCTCCCGACTCGGATGAGAGTGTGCTGTGGCAGTTGTTTGGTCCCTTTGGAGCAGTCAATAATGTCAAGGTGATCCGTGATTTCAACACCAACAAGTGCAAGGGATTTGGCTTTGTCACCATGACCAACTACGACGAAGCTGCCATGGCGATTGCCAGCCTTAATGGATACCGTTTAGGAGACAGAGTATTGCAAGTTTCCTTTAAAACCAATAAAACCCACAAATCCTGAATTTCATATCCTTACTTACTAAAATATATATATATAAATATATATACGAACAAAACAAAACAAAAAAAAAACTCTTCAAGGCTTATATTCAACCATGGACTTTATAAGCCAGTGTTGCCTAAGTATTAAAACATTGGATATCCTGTGAGGAACAGGAAAGGATTTTATAATGCTTAGAGAAAAAAAAAAAAAACCTTTGATGCATTGAATGTTCTTTCATAGCTGTCGTTGTTGAATATAATATACATAGATAACAATGTGCAGGGATTTTTACCCGGCCAGCTAGTTTTACTACCTTCCTTGAAGGTGGGTCTTTTTAAGATGACCATTCACTCATTTGAAAAAATAATAAAACAAAAACAATTTTTACAAACTAATGGGATTAAAAGCAAGAAAAAATTTTTGTTTTCTTTTCTTTTTTTCAAAACATTGATTGAATTAGATTGGTAAACCCCCCACATAAATTAAAGAGGAACAATAAAAATTGCAAAAAGAAGAACATAATTTTGCAACTTTTTTTATTTTTCCTTTTTTCTTTTGTATCATGTGAACTAAACAGTCTTCTGTTAGGGAATGGGGTAAAGGGGGATACCTGATGACATAACAATTTAAATAACATTAACAATGTTGCCAAAGAGGTGGTGTCGTTGTTGAATATAATATACATAGATAACAATGTGCAGGGATTTTTACCCGGCCAGCTAGTTTTACTACCTTCCTTGAAGGTGGGTCTTTTTAAGATGACCATTCACTCATTTGAAAAAATAATAAAACAAAAACAATTTTTACAAACTAATGGGATTAAAAGCAAGAAAAAATTTTTGTTTTCTTTTCTTTTTTTCAAAACATTGATTGAATTAGATTGGTAAACCCCCCACATAAATTAAAGAGGAACAATAAAAATTGCAAAAAGAAGAACATAATTTTGCAACTTTTTTTATTTTTCCTTTTTTCTTTTGTATCATGTGAACTAAACAGTCTTCTGTTAGGGAATGGGGTAAAGGGGGATACCTGATGACATAACAATTTAAATAACATTAACAATGTTGCCAAAGAGGTGGTCTCTTTGCTGAAATTTGGTTTCAAGAAAAATCTATTTTTATAAAATATAAAGAATTTTTACAAGAGAATCTGGATTTGAGAAAAAAATATTTTGACTGGCTAATTTAGGGGAAATTGACAACTTTGTCATGTTCATACTGCACTGGTAACTTTTTAGAGATCAAGATGTGTGTTTTAAACTGGATTAGTAGATTGTTTTTTGAAGGATGGGCTACAAACAGATGATCTTCGTATCTTTTCATAGCATGTAATAAAAATATTAAATACAGTACGGGAGAGTGTTCTTCCCAGGCACGCAGTTACCCACAGTCAAAACCCAAAAGCAAGGAGATGAGTTGCAAGACGGTTTTTCTTTAAGTCATCAGTATGGGATATCAGCAGAACAAAAGTTAAAAAAATTAATTTTTTGATCAAAAACTTCCTTGGTTTGAGCAGTAGGTGCTACAAAATTATTTACATATCTTAGTATCATAGTTAAATGTAATGTGTTTAGAAAAAATACATTTGCTTTAAATTTGTTAAGAATTTTCAAATTCACTTTATAGCCCAAGCTAATATAATTGGGCTGTGTTGGCACATTTGGAACACTGTTTATGTTGCTTGGAACACTTATTTATTTAATTGCCGATGTGATGCATATGGCCAAAATCAAATATAGCTAGTTTGGCTAGTCTACTTATTTGTTTACTTAAACTATGGGAAGAAGCATATTATTGTGTCATTTTGTTGTGTGTGTATGTGTATATATAATATAAATATATTTATATATAAAGTTATTTTTTCTTTTGGTTAATTTATTATAAGTTGTAACACTTTGCTAGTTTTGTTTGTATATGTCTTAAAATGTTTTCTTATGATACTTAAGTGACAGAGGTATCAAGGTAACTTGTGTAGAAATATTGTTTGATATATTGTCATGTTTGTTGTGAATATTTTTTCTTACTGCACAGTAGAAAAGAAAACAACTGGGTCTTTATTTTAATGTAATTCAGATTGGGGAAAACAGAGCTAAGGGAACAAAATGACTGAGGGGGTGCTCTCCCATGTCCAGTGCACTGATCATTTTAGTATGTTTGTGCTTTGTACGGTTATATATTTAAAACAAAAAAGGGTCATGCTCTTCCCTGAGTACTAGAAACAGTTACTCGCTATGCATAATCTAGTTGATAGTTAAATTTGCTATTGCTTTTCTTGTCTTGTTATATAAAATCTTTTCAATACAAGTTTAGTCTTAATGGTAATAAAACGTTATGGTTATTTATAACTTGTGCTTATTTTGTGCATTTTTTCCATGCTATACCCACTAACTGCATGTAGACTAAGTATTGTTTTTCACACTGAAGAGGCAAACTTTTGTAGTAGACAAATAACTAAAGCAAAGGCTGCATCATAATTTTATCAGTTTTTTACTTTAACAATGTTAGATTTTAGTTTAAAGGAACACTCATTCAATGTTCAGGGAAACCTTTATACATCATCTGCTATGAATGAGCGCAGTTTGCTGGGAAAGTTTTGATGCATTTGCTAAGCATTAGTGGGGAAGGCATGTCAGAATCTTTTCTCTACGATGTGTTTTACTATCTGAATAATAATAATAATTTAAAAAAATCTTTCTTAGGACCAGGCAGTTGTATACTTTAGTTATAATGAATGACTTCATGTTAACCTTGCTAGTTTAGATCATTTCTGAGGGAAAGTATTGTAAATGTTTTTTTCATAACCTTGTTGTGTTTGAATTATTTGTACTTTAATTGTCCAGACAATAAATGAAAGTGTGTAGAATGGCTATGGACTTTCCACCTTTTTAACTGTGTTCAGATGTTTTAGTAATCCCAGCCACACCTCAAACGAGGTAGATGTTAGAGTCTGATTTCAGAAGCAAGGTCTTCAAGAGAGAAACGGAGTAGTCAAACCAGATTGAGCATATTCATTATTTGGTTTTCCTTCTGAAGGTTAGAAAGAATCAGCCATTTAATTTAAGATGTTGAACACCAAATACCAAACTGTAACTGTAACTTTATTTGAATGTGGAAGATACTGAAGGATTTCTACTATATACAGTATTTTTACACAATGAAAATATTAACTCAGTTGATATCAACACTTAACAAAAGTAGCGAGCAAATTTTGGCGTTAATACAGTTTTTAAGCCATCATTTAGTTTGACTTTTCTATTGAATATGCTATGAATGTCATGCAATATGAAACAGTGTACATATCTGCTGTACAACAGTATATATGATCACATTCCAAATTGGATTCTTTTTGCCATGTGTTATAACTGGAGTTGATACTTCTTTCAGTTGACTTGTTTGAATCCCATTAATACAAATATTCACTTCATGTTTATGTTCTGTAACATTCACTAATTGAGAATATGTACCTTGTAAAACTGCAGCATTGAATTTCATAACTGAGATTAGGAAAACTATATCAGAGGGCTGGATGGACTGTGTGGTTCTTCAGCTCCTTCAGCCTATTAATAAACTTGTGTTTTTGTGAGATTAAGTTACCATGTTGACTATAATAATTAATTTCAGGCCACAGAATGAGTTTGTTCTTAAATTTACAGCTTGCTTAATTCATCCTTAAATCAACCTTACCATTCCATAGTAAAACACAGAAGTTAATAATTTGCTCTGTTTAAAGACTTGGCTCTGAAAAAATCATCCTTCCCATCTATCTATATATATGTATATACACACACTTTTGATGATATACATATATACATACACTTTACAACACTAACATGCACTTAAAAAAAAAAATCTGCACTTCCCATTTAAGAATGAACCATAGTGTTATAACAAACACTATTTACTATCTACACTGTAGCATTTTCTAGGTTCATCACCTGATTTTTTTTCCTGTCCTTTCTTCTGTGTACCTTGCACTGTCAGAAAAGTAGTGAGATGAAAATCACCACACAGTCTAGATGCTCTTAAGACAGAAGTGTGACTGCACACGCTGGCATTTTGCTGTTGACTTCAGAGAGGCCAGTTTTGATCCAGATTATTCCCCGCTTCCACTTGAAGGATGACTGCTGTTTGTCTGTATCTCATTTGTGTAAAGCACCTACTTCTTCATTCCGTACAGCTTGCATTAGTGAGCTTACATGAGCTGTATGAAAGCTCACATATACATGTAACACAAGAGAAAGGACTCTGCCAGTTTTAAGGATCTGGTGTGTAAAGTTCAGTCCCCTTTTTGAGAGTATCACAAATGTACGCTGGATAAAAGTAGTCACAGATGGGCCCTTGGTTCACTACACTGACCCTATGTGAATGTTTTTACAAAGTCTCACTGAAACACAGTTTCTGCCCAGCTGGGTTCAGAACCAAATTCTGCTAACACTCAATGTAATCAAGTTTTATATTTTTTTCCTGAAAGGATAATCACTCTCTCTGCAATTAGCAAGCCTGTTGCATAAATGGAAAAGCACCTGGGGGAGGGTGTTTCAAGTACATTCACTTTATGTTCCACTTCAGACCTACCTTGGGCACAGTAATGGGCTTTGAATGAACGGAGAGGGCAGCATTTATTGAAAATGATGGCTGGCATATTCAAGATAGCAGTGAGTTACTCTTAAATTTTTACTGTGGGAAGTCAGCCTACCTAGTGATGCTGAATTTGTAGCAACAAGATGCCATTAATGGTTTCCCTTGGGGTGGTTGGGGTGGGGCGGGGCTGGATGCACTACACCTAGCAGAGGCTGCTGCCTGGGTACTTGAATCAGCCTCACGATAATTAATCCTGAGGGAGAGGTACACACCCAGAAGGTGCCCTGTGGAACCCCTTTCTCCATCACCTGTAGCAGGAGCCAGGCAAGGCTGTTAACTTAGGTATCTCGCTTACATGACCACAGATGGATGAGGTAAAGCCAGGTCAGCATGTGATCACAGAAAAGGTTTGCTCCCTGCCCTGGAGATCTTACAGACTGAGCTCACTGTACAGAAGTAATTTGTTGTACATATAGAGCAAAATGAAAGATCAAATCCAGCATACCTTTACAAAAGCTCTCACATCTCAGACTAATCCAGTATCTCTCTTCTAAAAATAACGGATGACTTAAACCCAGAAGCTGCAATGGAACCAATCCAGCTGAGCTTCAGTAACTCATAAGGGGGCAAATCACTTGGGGGCAAGCAGGAACTTCTGCAGGAAGGAAATAAAAAGCAACAACCACACGCAGGCACGTACAGACCCTGCGGGGTGCTCCTCCTGGGCGTTGCTGCGATGCAGCCTCCTGGCCCCATCCTAAGGAAATCACTGTCATCAGAGGTGCATCAGGGTGGTACCTTCAACAACCAGCAGAACATGTACGCCGGTGCAACAGGCACTTCTAAGGCCTTTCCCAGAAACACCGTATGC